GTACGTTGAAAATTCAAATCCTAATTATTCTTACTTAATGATATCTCATAACTTCATGCAGCTGAGGAAATAAATCCCTTACCTCCTTATGAGTCCAATAATAGCTCTTCCTGCACAGAGCAATTGATGAAAGCCTTGCCCAGAGTGCTTTCTAGAGCACTCTGCTTGGAGGATCTCATCTTTCCAGTATTTGTTATGCTTATCTGAACTTTTGTTTCACTCCTCTGGACTTCTGCATTTCCCTCTGAAATATTGATTTTGATCAGAGGCCAGAAAGAGGGTGGGGTTTTCCAAAACTTGAGCCATGGCAGCTGGGACTGCAAGGATTAAAGACATCAAGGAAGAAGGCGTCCACTTCTCTAGGATCAGCACTCCACTGCCACTGCTGGGAGATTTCATAAATATTCACAGCCATTAGCTAATTACAGACGCTTGGATCAGCTCCCGTTTTGCTCCTCTTTCGAAAGGTCTTTCTTCACTCATTTCCCATGTCACAGTTTGGATTTCTTGTTAAAAAACATCAATAGTAAGGAACTTAAGGAAGAAGTTACAAGCCACATCGATCCCCATCACTTTGTCTTTTGAGATAATCTGGGGAGCCCTGTGTGGTCTGTACAGCCAGAGCCCATGGGGCTGAGAACACTGATGGAGTTAAGGTTCAAGCCCAGCCTCTATCTCACCTGCCCCTCCCAGGCTTCAGGTTTATTTCAGAACATGTCTACACCAAATAAAACAAATTTGGGGAAAAAAAACTCCATATACGTTCCTCCTACACAGCTTTAGATGACATTTGCAGCTAGACAAATACACAACAATAAAAGAGTATCTCATATCCCTTGAGACCAGAGGCTTAGTTTTCCTTAGCAAAACTCCTGTGCTCTCTTTGGGAGATTGAGAAGAGCTGGATTCAGTTTCAAGGGGCTTTAGTGGATGCTGAGTTCATCCATAATGCTGGTCCCACAGAATTAACTCCTTCCTCCCACAGGACTTCCCAGCAGGACATCTGCCATGCAGCAGAACCAGAAGCTCTCCCTCATCTGCCCTCAAAGACATCCACATTCTTATCACATCTTCTTTCCTGACAAAGTCAAATCCTTGGGTTACTTTTTGGGAGATATCTTTTGGTTTTAATTCAGAGCTGCAGCTTGGCATGCAATGTTATATTTCCTGCTGGAAAAGGGATTGCAAGGTGTTGAGCTCAGTTCTCTGTCAGGCTGTGGACCCAGAACATAACTTGAAACAGGTCTGAAAACTCATCTGGGATGGTCTCAGGACATTGGATAGGAACAGCTTGTACTTTGAAGTAGGTCAACCAGTATCACCAGAAAAATAAACATCTGGGTGTAGCAATCTTCTTCAGGTGTATGGAATCACTTTCAGTGACGTGACTGGGCACATTGTAGAGATTCAGCAGTTCTTCCAGCCTAGGACACATGTGGTGTCAGTCATGGTTAATCATTTTTATTGTTGTACAAACTTCTCCCTTGCTTGAGGCTAAGATAGGGTCTGGAAATCCAGAAATGCAATGTTGTTTCTGAGTAAGATTTGCCATTCTATTGTGTTTTCTTTACCTGAGATACACAAAGCATGCATTAAACATGAAACAGTTGATCTTGGCAAGGTCTTTTTGAAGTACTGAATACAATTATGATTTTATGCTGGAAGCTGGGGCATGGATAAGGTGTAGGGTCTGGATATTGTCATATATTAATGCTATCAGGACATCTGTCTGTTTCATTAGAGTTATTTAGCAGCAAGTTTTGAAGTTTTTCTTTACTATTTTATTCATAGGCTTATCTGGTTTCCATGAGGAGTTTCCATGGTTCTCCTTGAGCTAGCTTTAAACTAAATTACTTAGAAGCAAGATAGCTCTGTTGGGTTTGCATCTGGGTTTCTGCCCTTTCCCAAATATCATAGAACCACAGAATGGCCTGGGTTGGAAGGGACCTTAAATATCATGTACTTCCAAGCCTCCTGCCTTATGAAAATCCAACGCTGAGATAGATGATGGATTTTCCAGTGGCTGCTCATTTTTCACTTTCCCAGGTATCTTATTTAAAGTTTCACAGTGAGTTGCAGAACACATACCTCAGAGCTTCCCGTTTACCCAAAGCACCTCCAATGGAGATACAGCTCTTTTTCTGCTGGAATGAATTATATTTTGTATTCATCCCAGTGAACCCAAAAGTAATGAGAAACTTGCCCACTACAAGCCAACTTCAGCTCAGAGGTGAAACCTCGCAGAAGCTGGCTGGCTAGCTGTCCTTCATAGCATCTAAATTTCACAGCTGTGATTCTCCATTTCCAATAGCAACAAAGAAGACAGAGGTGAGAGCCTTTGCCACATCATCTTCCTTAGTTGTAGTTTTACTCAGAATTTTCAGATCCAGATGCCAGACATTGTAGAAACCTTGGAATGTCAAGCCTGTGTGAGCTCACTATGCCACTCCTTTCTATTCACAACTTCTATTGAATTAATTTTCCTCCTGCAGACTTTATACTTGAGCCTCCCATGGACCTTTTCAAGCATTCCTTTTTGTCTCCTTCCCCTCTGTGAACATGGGGTCACCAAAGCTGGTGAAGCAACAGTAATCAGGGGTGAGCAGTGCATGTTGTTAGCAAGGAAAACCCAGGAGGCTAAAGCTGAGCAGCTGTGTTGCCCACGTTTTGAAAGCCCATGGCTTGCTCCCCATCTACGTAGTTATCTGCTGAGGCCCTAAGGGAGGGTCTTAGGTGGTGAATGAGGCTGCCCAAGAGGGCAACCAGCCAGGGCTGTAGGGTTTTGAAAGTAAAAAGAGAACAGCACTGACCTGATGACACTGTTGAGGCAGGATGGGAATGAAGAGACTGATTCAGAAGGCTGCAGAAAGTGAAACTCTGATTTATTCAAAATACACCACTCTTTTATACAGAGCTTCATGCAGACCAGCTCCATTGGCCCTGAAGTGAAAACAGCCACACCATTGGTGCAGAGTGCTTGATGCACAGTGATAGAACTTAACTATAGACAATATGAACAAATAAGAAATAAACCTCTTATTTACATTCTTTTCCAACAGATTCCCAGGCTTCTGCCTGGTTAGAAACTTTCCATTTCTCTCTTTGACTGAATCTGAGACCCACAGCCTGAAGCAGATGGGTCTGACTGTGGAGCAAAAGCCAAGCTCAAGGTGCATCAAACACAGGCAACCTGCACCTTGCCAGAGCACCTGGGACAACATCCATCCCTGTGACATGGAGCACACCAGCCCTCTCCTCCTCCTGCCTCACTGCCAGCACCCAGGGGAATCCCAAGCCTAAAAACCCCACAGAAGTATTTTATATCCCCACCTACAGCAATATTGTAGGCTATAAATTTTGTATGTGGTCACTGTGTTCTTCCAGAACATGTAGGCGGCTGTCAGCTTCCTAATCCTGGATTTATTGGCAGCAATGAGAGGAGAGAGGAGGCTCATTTCAGGGACCAAGAGGATAAACCTATTCTTGGCACCTTGGAGGACTTTCCTGATGCTGGTTAGATGCACTGGAGTCCCCACGGGCCCCCATGAATGTCACTCTTCCCAAACCTGAAGACAATCCACCTCTGCTAGCAACCCCCTCATGTTTCCATTACAACCAGCCCTCAATTCCCCTTCCTCTTTCATTCCCACATTCTGGGTGACAATTCAGCACCTTCACAGCTACTGATGAGGAGCTCAGGCAACTCAAACTCTGTCTCCTTGCAGGGAGGCAATTCCCAGGGCAGCATGTGACCTCTGAAACAGAAGACTTTGGAAGGAATGTCAGTGATAGGCTGTGGTTGTGCCATGGTGCTCACAGGATGGTTACAGATCCAGGATCTCCAAATCAGAGCTCCTGGTGCCAGGTTTGGATTTATTACTATGTTGACATGAGTTTTCTCAGTGTCCTCCATAGATTTTAGCATTTCTTTCAGAAACAAGTGGACTGTTTGTCTGTTCTTACCTATGAAGAGTACCTTTATCTGGAGTGCTCTTCTATGACAACCAGGCAAGAAAACTTTCCAGAAGAAACTGAGAAGCAAGGAAACCCAGCACTTTCTTTACATTATTCACATGGACTCTGCTACCTACAAAATGTCAAGCACAATTTGTGTGTCTCACATTGTGCAAACATGTGAGCATCTGGCAGGAGTGCACAACTTACCCATGGCTGGTGTGAGCGAGTGGAACTCTTGCATCCAGCAAAGAGCAACAAGTATTATGCCATAGAAATAAGTGACAGCTTTGGAAATGAATTCATTTTAAAAGAGCCTGTCAACCTGAAACCTGTCCACTTCACAAAAAAAACATTTCAAAACATTTTCAGGTTGATATCTTCCCTGAATTTTCCCCATCACTCTTAGCATGCCATTTCTGTATCATTTAAACTACCTCCCTCTTGCTCTGCTGTGAAGAATACACACACACACACACAGAGACAAATCTAGAGGAAAACAAATCATGCAGATTTACACGATAAGGCAAAACCAGGAATGTGTCATAACTGCGGAAAAGCTATCAAGAGAAATCAACTCAAACCAGAGGGAAGTCAGGAAAGAATGTTAGATCTTGTAAAACAACTTTCTAATATATCTGTAATGAAATTGAGCCTTATCTGTTTACGAGGACAAGCAACTCCAATTCTGTAAGCTCTGCACAGATCTCTAAACCAATGCAGAGTTGCACTATTTTAATTTAATTTTGTTTTGTTTTATTACTGACTAAGAGCACAGCTCAGAGCCACCTTCAACATGTCATGCCTTGATGCAGGGAACTGGGTTTTCACAGCAACACTGCTGTGCAGCAGCACTGATCCCAGACAAAAGGGTCTGATCAGGCTTTTTTTGCATTTCCCACTTTGGCTTCATCCACAGCTAAAAAATGAGTCTGTTTAAGCATAACTCACAGTTATCTCTTTCAGCTCGTCTGTAAAATGTTAATGCAATGTGTTCCCATTTAAAGATCCCTTTGCACTGCAAGAGCCACGTGAAGCAGTCTCTATAGACGGGAGCGCACCGGGATTAATGTGCCGGGGAAGCAGGAGGGACGAGGAACCTTTCCAGAAGGCACGGCGAGATCCACGCCGTGCCAGGGAGCCACACTGGCTGTGTGGGCAGGCGGCACCATCGGGACGGGCCACTCTGTCCACCCTGGTGCCAGAGAGCGCCTCGGCTCGATGCTACAAGCCAGGCAAGATGTGACTCACGCAGTTTGCTTGCAAAGAGGGAAGGACCATCTGGTAGTCATGAGCAGATGACAAATTCACTGCATTGCGTCTTGTCGCTACTTCCAAATTTGTAAGTAAACACATTTTGTAACCTCTCTCGGAGTATTTGAGATCTTCGATAATGGGGATAAAAAAAAAAAAAAAAAAAAAAAAAAAGAGAGAGGAAAAAAAAAAAAAAGGTGGGGGGAAGTTTAAATGTATGTAAGGCACGGAAGGGGGGAATCGTGGACGGGGCGCTCGGAGCGCTCCGCGGAGCCCCGCGGCGCGGGCGGCGGTGCCTGCGCTCCCCCGGGCGGCCGCGGCTCCGCGCTGCAGCCGCGCCCCTCCGCGGGCGCCCCAGCCCGGCAGCGCGGCGAGGAGCTCCGCGACCCCGCCCCGCCCCGCGGGACGAGCCCCCGCCTGCCGCAGCCTCTGCGCGGAGCCCGCCTCGAGCGGCGCTGTCACCGCCGATCCATCCGCCACCGCATCCTGGAGCGGCTCGGGGCACGAGTCGCTCGCTGCCTTCTGGCAGAGAAGTGAGGCAGCGAGGGCTGGCAGCAGCAGCACCCGCACTGACAACCCCTGCGCCTCAAGGAGATCAGCCCAAAACTCAAGCAAGGACCTGTGCGCTGAATTGAAGCGAGCATCTCCAAAGGATCTTGATTCACCTTTCACTGAAAGGGTGATCGGGCATTGGAGCAGGTTCCCCAGGGAAGTGGCGGAATCACCATCCCTGGAAATGTTCAGCTGTCATCAAGATATGGCAGGTGGGGGCATGGTTTAGTGTTGGACATAGAGGTGCTGGGTTGGCCTCAATGAGCTCACAGGTCTTTTCCCATCTTAGTGATTCTAGAAATTTAAGCATCCCTATCCTTCTGTCCCTCAGTAAAAACTCAGAGAATTAATGGAAAGAGCAAACAGGAAACACTTATCTGGCCAGACAAAGTATTCCCATGATTTTTGAAGGACAAAAATAAAAACAAAAATTTGCATTATTCAGAGTTATAGAAGCTATACATAAAATGCAGACATAAGAATTACCAAAGTCACAGGACCACCTTCATTTTACATCAGTCCAGCCCTTACTGCTCTTAGACATAGTGCAGTCTTCACTGAATGCAACTTTACTGTTTTAGAGAGAAACTGTCCTTTTCCAATCCCTCTCTTGGTGAATAACTGCTTTGCTCAGAGTCTCTGCCATCTGGACCAGACTGACAGGATGATGAAGGACTAAAACCATGCTGTCTCTGAAAACTGAAATCGGGGGAGTAGGGTGATGATGAAGCCTGTAGCTGTGCAACCCAAGTGTTTGCTAGCCCAAGGAAAGCCTCTTGCTGTTCTGCCCCTTCTTTCCCAGCTCTCTGTACTCTTCAGTGCACCTGTCTGACTGATTGCCTGACTCTGACAGCCTTCAACACCTCTTCTTCTTCTTCTGGGTTTCAGTAATGCTGATCTTTCAAGTGCTGGATGAGAATGCAGGATGTCCTAGCCTGTCCTCTGTCTCCTTGGTTCTTGTTCACACCTGAGCAAGGAGAGCAGAGCAGCTGAAGATGGAGGAAGAAAGTCAGAGACCAGCAAGAGACCTCTGCAGAGCAGCCTGTGAAGCCACAAGGAGCAGTGCACAGCCCTGAGGGCACCATCTGAGTCTTTCACTGGCCAGGCACCCATGGAGCCACATCCTCTCAGTGACCCACTGGCTTCTCTTCCTTGCTCAAGTCTCCTTCTGCAGATGCTCCTTCTCACTGTCCCACTCTCCAGGGATTTCTGCATCTGCTTCTCTCTTCTGCTCCTCTCTGTGTCCTCATGTTGTCTCTGTGCAACCTCACCTACAGCCCCAGACTCAAATTCCCTTTCCCAGTCCCTTGTGATTTACAGATCTGCTTCCCTTCTCCATTTCTCCCAGTTGAGGCCTCTCCCTCTAACACCACCCAAAAGACAACTCCCCCCAGCTGCAGCCCAGCGTGGTATGAGCAGAGCTGCTCAGCTGAGAGCTCTGGGAGGTACCCCGTAGCATCAGAGCATGCTGCCTGTCCCCCAGGCATCCTAGGAGACATCTTTGGTTCAGACTTCTCACATCCTCAATGATTTTTAATTTTTTTTCTCAATACCATCTTTACTCTGTGGCCTTTTGTCTCCTTTCAGCTAAAATTCCTGTGCAGACTTCTGGCATTTCGAATCTCAGCTACTCCCACCTCTTTCTTTCTGGCCTTGAAAAGCACTGTCTCATCCAACTTGTACCCAGCTCAAACACTGCTATGAGCATCCTTTCCTCAGGGGTGGCTTTTGCTCTGCTGCTGCTGCCTCTGGCCCCCTTCCTCTGCCCTGCTGTGCTCAGGAGAAGCCCCTTCCTCCTGCTTTCAAGGCTCAAGTGCATCATTCACTAACCAGGTAAAATTTCTAGCCCATAATATAAACTTTATTTGCCCACTTGACAGATTTTCAGGCAGGCACCTTTGCCCATCACTCCCACACTCAGGTGTGAGACGGGTGCACCACAAACACCCACGCAGCCACTCTCCTGTCTTCTGTCAAAATCACAGTTACAAGCTCTCAGAAAATCTTTACTGTGGACTGCCCCTGAGCTGGGCTCATTTCTGGTGCTGCTGTTCCATCATTTTGTTCTGCTTTCCCTTCTCTTTGCCTACTTTGTCATTCCCCTTGGCCTCTGCTTCTCTAGCACAGGGCTCATCTTTTTTCCTTAACCATTCAATACTCAATCTGGTGATGTCCTGGTCCTTGACTAAGATTCCTATGGTGATATGAATCATTAGGATTGATTCCCCAGTGCTATACTGTCATTTGGTGCATTTGCTACAGCTCTTGGTAGCAATTTGTATTTAACTTTGCTTCAGCACCTCAGTTCTCAGGAAATGTGTGATATTAATTACCTCTAATCACAACTGATGAGAAGTTCTGGTAGAAAACCCATAGAAATAAGCACCATAATTCCTTGCCTCAGAATAGAGATACAAGTTTCTCTAGCATTATATTTTTTAACCCATTTTGCTGAAATTTAATGTAGTTATTTAACTTTCATTTTCTTCCAGCTGCTAACCCCTCACCTAGTTCAAATGATTCATCCCTGCTGCATTCACTGCCCAGGAATGTTGGCTTTCAACAAACTACAGCAAATAATGTAAAATAAACACGAGTGTGCTTTCATCTCACAACAATCTGGGTTAAGTACATATTTCACACACTGCACCACAGGATATGTTAAATTAAAATCAGAACCACAAGATTTAAAAATCCAATGCCAATTCAAACCATTGATGAGTTATTTCTGTATTCTTATATCCAACAGTGGGCATGAGCAACAGCCACTGCTTTATTAACCCTGAAATGTGCCACTTGATAACTTTTTGCTGCATTACTTGAAGAAAACCAATAATTTTGATTTGAAATTACACTTGGTGGAAATTACTGTAATATACACAAATATCCTGATCTTCCTGAAAAAATTTGAGACCATACCAGTTTTTGTGTCTCCATCTTCCTCTTATTTTAGTGTTCTTCATTTCCTAAACTGCTTTCAATCACTCTCTGAAAAAGCAACCTGGAATGGATTCCTTGAAATGAAAAATATGTTTTTAAATGTGCTGCTCCCTCATGCTGCTGGAATCATGAGGTCTGGGGTCTTGCATGTATTCATTTCCTAGCCAAAAGATATAGGGGACCTACATTTGAAATGAACAGTATAAAAAAGAGGCTGGGATGGGAATCTGACAGAAAAGTGACAGTCTACTGGGCAAGACTCAGATTTAATGCACTCTTACTTTAGATTTCCATAGTGTAACATTTTGTGAATCTAGCTTCTCATTCCAACAACACTAGGATAGGAATCATGCTTAGTTGTTGATTTACTTTGAAGCTATTCAGAATAAACATTCTATTTCCTTTAGGCTTTAAATACAAGAATAGATATTCCCTAAGATTTAGGAAGCCTTCTGTTAAGTGCCATGTTGCTATGTTTAGACTCTAAAAGTCAAAAATTAAATGCTGGGGCTAGCAAAAGGAAAAGAGAATTAGTTTAGTTCATTTCCTTTCTTGACATTATGACTTGATGAGCTGCTGCTTTCTCTCTTGCAGTGTCTGCTTGAAGAGATGAGCAGGGACCTTTTTAGGAGCTTTGCTTCCTCTGAGTTGCTTGGAAGGATCTGAGCTTATGAGAATGACTGAAGTGTCCTGGGGACAGAAAAAGAAACAGTTTAATTTTAATAGGTTAATGGTTCCTGGACACTGAAGGATACACCACTTGCCAAAAATACTTCTTGATTTTCTTCTTTTAGCTTTCATGCTGCTGTAATTCTAGACATCATCTTTCCCTGACCAAGGAAAAAAATTGACCTTTTCTGGTGTTGACAAAAACAGCAGAAGACAAATCCAGATACAAATATTTTCATCCATTGCCACAGAAACTCCTTGAGAGCCATATAGCTCTGTCTGGTCAGCTGAAATGTGAACTTGAAATGTGTCTCCCTTGGCTGAGAATGGATGGAAAACCTTTCTCTAACAAAGCAGTGCTATGTATTCTTCCACCCACCTTGGGAGGAGAAACATCTCTGTACCCACAACCCTGCTTTGGTTCTTTTAGGTCAACTTTTGTATAAGGAAAGGGATGAAACTTCTAGACCTAGAGGCTGAAGGTGGTGATAAGAAGAGGAGAGCAGTTGGGTTTCAAAGATTAAGTGCCTTTTAAAAGACATCTTGTTCTAGCTGGGACTTTTGAGAGACAACTGAATGTTTGTATTCCCAGAATTAGAATGTCTTTTTTGCAGTGCTGCTACAGTAATTAAGGTTTAGAGCTCAGTTCAAAACCTAATACTACCACAGCTGGCAAAGAAGAGAGTAAAAATAACCTAGCAGTTCTTCTTCCTACAAAATTTAAAAAATAAAATACCAAACAAACAAACAAAAAATACCAAAACAAACAAACAAACAAAAAACCAACTCATAAATGTCAGGATTTTCAAAATTATGTAAAAATTCATTATAAAAGGATTTTTCTTAGCTGGCTTCAAAGATCTTTGGATGCAGTCTTTGGAGACAACACTCCTCAGAAAAAATGGAATACCAAAGGAGAAGAGCACTGAATCTCAGCCACTGTAGAGCAGAAATAGATCTTCCCACATTTCTGTGAAGATCTCTGTACTTGATTAGAGTGTCTTTCCAGCTTCTTTTAGTGTCTGAAGCCCTTTTTCTCTAATCTTCAGTTGTGCCTATATTATAGGTTAGGAGAGTGGTTGGTTTGTGCAAGAATACAGGGAAGAGAAGCAGGTACATCACTGGAGAGGAGAAGTTGAGGAGACCCTAGGTCAAGTTTTGTTCCAAATGTTTCTCTTCTCTACTGCTGATTGGTAAAATCATTCACAGTATCTCCATGGGCCAGCTCACTGTGGAGCTGCATGGAAATCTTCCATGGTAACACCTTTCCCACCCAAAAAAAGAAAAAAAAAAACACCAACAAAAAACAACACCAAACCAACCAAACAAACAAACAGAAAAGCTAAGAATGCTAATTTGTTAAAAATAAAGGGTTTTCTCTGAAATTCAAAGGATAATGAAAAAAAAAAAATCATTTGGAAAATAAAATATCTTAGAGAAAGTCATCAAAGGTCTAGCCTGAACTTCTTGAAAGTGAATGTTTTAGTTTTTCAACTTGAAAAGATGGGTTACAAAGGTTTGACTTTCATTTTATAGTACATGAAAAAAAATATTTTTCAAGGTGGAGTAAGAATGAGATGAGTTTTTTATCAAAATGAAACTTTGAGAGCAGTTCAAAAAGGGGGTTTTAAGAGTGATTGGGGGGGGGGGGGATTTGGTTTGGCCTCATAGGAAACTTGAGGAAAAAAAATCAGAGCTTTATTTCCATTCTGAGAAAGAAGAATGAATTCCCTGTGATCCATGACCATGGACCACTAACAGTTCTGAAGCACTGCCCCTTACAGCCCAAACTGTTCTGTGATATTTCAGTGGCAGCAGGTTACAATGATCTCTGGGCAGTGATAAGGATCAAAATGATCACAGAATCAATTAGGTTGGAAAAGTCCAACCTGTGACCAAAGAAAAATCCATCTCTCACCCATCATTAATACTCAGGAGTCTGCATCTTTTGCAATGGCAGGGCTGGAGTCGTGCTGTGGGTACTTGGTGGGAGCACAACCAAAGAAAAGCATTTTGCTGTCAGGGGCATTGAAACTGCAGCTCGTGGGCAGGAGTGGGTGAGCCTGAGAATTACCCAGGGGCTGGTCTGAAAACTGGCAGCCTGCTTGGAAAGCATCCACGATCTCCAAGTGCCCAGAGTCTCCAGGCCAGCCCAGGAAACAGCCTGACTGAACAACCCCAGGACACCCGGGAGCCATTTTTTGGTGAAGTGCAAACCTTCAGTCACACGCACACGCCCCACCTCGAGCAGCAAGCCCAGTCATCCTCCAAGAATGTCTTGAAAATAATTAAATGGCTTTACGTCATGTTCCAGGAGATTAGATTTTTCTGCCTTGCATTTCTTAAAGCTACCAGATTTTAAGGTAGCATGTCAAAGCAACAAAAGGTCATACGTGGCACTACTCGCTGCTTCCAACAAGGAGCAGCCTGGTACATTACAACCCCTTTGCTTTGCTGAGGAGAGAAAAGAAGAAAAAGGCAACAGTCTTGGCTTAGGCTGAGTAGTGTCAATAGACTTTCTGCATCTACAAGTTCTCTTTAGTCACAAAATGCTGACAGAAAATAGGCACTATATTTAAGCAGAGCCGATACACCTTTTTCCTGCAAAATTTGTTATTTTGTACTTATCAGACTGCTAAAACACATATAGTGTCCCTAAAACACATATAGTGTGGTGCTTTTGGAATTGCTTTACCTCCTGTGAAGTTGTGGGTTTCTTCCAAATATGAAGAATAATATGGAAATTATATATTGAACAGAAAAAGTATCTGTCCTCAGGTGAAATTTGCATATTCCTTTCATTTATCCAGTATTTATAAAAACAACAAAAAAACCCCCTAGATTAAAAATTAGGAGAAACTCTAAATAATGCCAGTGTGCTATCACCTGCTGAGCTTGGAGGGCTCTTTTGCCTTCCTTTTCTTTCTTTTTTTCACTGCCATGAGACTTAAATACCCTATTTTAAGACTCTCTGTGATGAAGGAAAAATGAAGTGTCATCAGCAATAGGCAGAAACAGCCCTTGGAGTAATGCACTGCAAACAAACACCTCAACCTCAGAGAGGAACGTTTCTGTCACACCAACCTTTGCAATCTCCTTTTTCACAAGGCTTTTCAAATCAGCTTAATTGTGATTCTTAGGGGAATCTCAGCTTCCTCTTCATATCAGGGTAATGAAAAATTTAGGTGCTATTTCTGAACACTACTCTACATTGCAACCCCATCTTTTGTTCCAGGCCCTGGCACCACAAAAGACAGTATAGATGTGACTCTAACAACCTCTCCTGGGTGAGCTGCTAGTTTCCTCACATGGAGAAAGAACATAGAGAAGACTAGAGAGATCAGGATAAATGAAAAATCTTCTCAAAATTTTTCTCTCTCTTCTCAAATTTGATGAAAAACATCATGGAGAACGAAACAGGGAAAAGCGAAAATGACAGTCTATGGTCTTTGTGTCACACAGAATATGAAAGATGGGAAAGGAAAAAGAGACAAAAGAAAAGGAAGATATAATATAAAAATGAATGAAAGAAAGGAAATTGTTATTGTATGGAAAGAAAGCGAGAGACAAAGTGGCTGAGAAAAGAGGGAGATGAAAATTTAAAGGAAACGTGAGGCAGCAAAAGAGTAGCTGTACATGTCTCTAGTGGAAAATAATTATGGGGCACGTATAAGCAAATATGACATTAAAAATTACACAATAGCAGATAAGTAAAGGCTGTGGGTAGGTCTGGATAATTCTCCTCCAAATAAGGCAGCTGAAAGTCACCATTCCCTTACTGCAGCTATTGTGAAGCTAAAGTTCACTTGTACTGAAATGTTTCCTTACTTTGTATCATAGCCTGATAAGTGATTTGTTCCACTGGGAGAAAATGTTTTATCACCACGGCCCATGTGTGTTTTGTTGGCATAGTATCTGAAGTGCAATTATTCAATATAATTTTTCAGCTGGTGGGTATTTGTTTTAATTTTTAACAAAGGCGGGATAAAAGAAGTGTTTTCCAAAAATTCTGGTTTGTACTTTTCTCGTCTCTTCTTTTGCTACTTTTCCTCTCTGCCTACAGCCAGATCCACTCCCTAAAGCACTGAGGCACTGCAGCCCTTAAATCAAAGACCCTTTGAGTGATTTTAACACACTGCTCACCCACAGGCTCTCACTCCACTTGTTCCAGTGGCTGTCCCCACTGTCCCTGTGCTGATGGGCTCAGGGACACCAAGCACTGTCACTTCTGATTTTATCAAGGGGCACTGCAGGGACTTCACACACAGCAAGCCAAGTGCCAAAGATCACCAAGCCTACTGGTTCTCCCAGCACAACCACTGCTTGGTGACAGCTTTTACAACACTCACACTTGTTAAATTCCTCCTCTTCTTGATTTCGTATGCTGAACAGTAGCCAAAGCCGTAATCTGTGATCTTTATACCTCCCAAGAATCTTCAAGACAAACAGTTTAACAAACAGGTGCCCTCTTACAATTAAAATTACCTGGAAGTGAGAAAGAACTTTTCCTAAATGCGCCATGTAAATGTCACATTTCTTTCAAGATGCTTTTTTTTTTCTCTCTCAGCTCTATTTACATAATAACCTTTATTTTGCTGGACTTCTTTCTCTTTAGTTCTTGAATTATACAGGCTTTACATTAAAATAAAAGTTATCCCTTTCCTTTGCCTGTGCAGACATGTGAACCTTGGTCTGAACTTAAAAAAAATCACAACTTCCTAGCATAAAGCATGTGATGTTTTATGGTAATGGTACCTTTGACCATTTTAACCAATAATCTTTGAAATGTACATAGAAATTAGGCAAGGTTGGGCAATATGTAAACATTACCTGCCAAGAAAGGCTGTTATACTATACAACTGCCATAAATCACAGACTTTGTAAAGGCTGATGCTGGGTGAAGTATACAACATTCAAAAAAAAAACAATTTTCTTTTTTTGATGATAGGTGACCATCCCCAAGCCACTGACCACATGTCATGAGATGTGTCCCATGGGATTTCCTTGGAGATAAATTGCAGATCAAGACATTGGAGTGCTGCTGGACTGCAGGTCTATTAAAAATCAGACAAAGAGTGAAAACAAGGAGAAAGCAATAATACAGAAAAAAAAAAAATAAAATGTGGTCCTGGGTAAAAACCAGAAACCAAAATTTCTTTTGGTTAGAGAGCTTACTGACAAGTACAGCCATCATTTCCCAACAAGGAAATAAACTTGTTGATTGTTCCCACTGGGCCAGGAAGAAAAACAAAGCAGGATAAATAAACAGGGTCACCCCAAATAAATATTTGTCTCTAAGTATCAGTGTCAAAACAGCATCCTCCTGGATACAAACTGGCATGATCCTAAATGTTGTCTCTTTTACTGGGATGAGGGAAAAGCTGCATGCAGCCACTGAACAGCTCATGGACTTATGGATACAGAACTGTGGATCTAGGACATTGCAGGGAAGACTTGTCCCTCCTTCACCTGCAAAAATCCTCAGGTCAGAGGAAGAAAGTCCCAGTGAGAGAAGCAGCATAAAGTCAGTCTCACTTCTCAAGGTGACTCTGAGCCAGTGCTGTTGCCTTATTGAGCTGGCTGAAAACCAAAGGGAATTTTGCCACTTAAACTGTTCACATTTAAAACAAAAAATCCCCAGAATTCCTACAAGGCAGAAATGTAATAATAATCTGGCAGATGTGGAAAATACTTAGTGCAGTATTCTGAGACTTCACTTAAAATGTTGTATCTTAATGCATGGGGTTTCATCTGTGGATTGGTTAAAGGCCTGGCAGCAGGAGTCCTCGCATGACCACGGACCACGAACAATTCTGAAGCACTGCCCCTTACAGCCCAAACTGTTCTGTCATATTTCAGTGGCAACAGGTTACAATGATCTCTGGGCAGTGATAAGGATCAAAGTGATCACAGAATCAATTAGGTTAGAAAAAACCTCTGAGATCACCAAGTCCAACCTGTGACCGATCCCCACCGTGTCACCCAGCCCATGGCCCTGAGTGCCACGTCCAGTTTTGTGTAACACCTCCAGGGATGGTGACTCCACTGCCTCCCTGGGCAGCTCTCCAATGTCTAATCACCCTTCCTGTGAAAAAAGTCCTCGTAATGTCTGACCTAAACCTCCCCTGGCACAGCTTAGGACCATTTCCTCTTGTCCTGACACTTGTTACTTGGGAGAAGAGACCAACCCTCACCTGGCCATGACCTCCTTTCAGGGAGCTGAGAGAGTGACAAGGTCTCTCCTGAGCCTGCTTTTCTCCAGGCTAAACACCACCAGTTCCCCCAGGACTTTGCCAGCTTCACTGCCCTTCTCTGGCCTCACTCCAGCACCAAAATGTCCTTCTGGAAGTGGGGGACCCAGAGCTGGACAGTACTCGAGATCCCCAGTGCTTTGGGGCAGCCAAACAGGGTGGTGGCACTGCCCCACTCATGGGTCCAACCTTGAGCTCCTTCCAGCTGGGGATCACAGTGAAATCAGTGCTGCTCGGGGCACATGTTCTAACTCCAGTTTGCACAGACATGGAGAAGACACAATAACACAGATTAGCTCCAATTCTCGTACAAGCTTGGGCTTTGACATGTCTTTCTATCAGCTTGCTGCCCCCTTGCACAACAATCCTCTTTATTTAATTATTACATTTTATCAGTATGGAATGGGAAAAGACCTTCTGAACCACCATTCCCCCTCCTCAGGTGACTCCACAGGTGACTATATCCCAGAATTATCTTCAGAAACCTGCTCCCACTTCACCTAAAAAATGTTTTGAGGTTTTTTTAACATCATGGCTTAACACAAATATTGAAATGTGAGATCCTGATAACATTCTGACTGCAAGCTTTGAAGTAACCCCTGAAAGCCCTACAAGCAGGTTATTTTGTGCCATCAGAGGACTTGTTATTCTGCAATGACATTTGCCTTTCCTCTGAGCGTGGCACACTGTGATTAAGTGAGTTGTTTATCTGCTGCTCACAATCACTTGTAAGGATCTGAAATACCCTTTACACATCACCAGCCACCCCTCCTGTGCTCTGTTACTTTGTCATTTAGCTTTATGACCAGTTGAATGTTCTTAAGCCAGATCTGAATGCATGGGACAGCACAGTGTTTGTTCCAGACACACGGAGAGAATGCTGAGGTAGGATTTTATCCACATCTCTGAAACCCCATGGTGCATTCTCTTATGATCCCTCCACCCAGAAGTTTTATAGAACAGTCAAGTTTCAAGGCCAGGAGTTACCATCACCATCATCTGCAGTTTTTCACCCACTCAATCCCTTAATACCCCTAAGGGAATTGCTGTTCCTTCTTAAGTGAATGAACTCTCCTGAGCCAAGTAACTTCTGTTTAAAGTAAAATCTGTTCCTCAAGGAAAAAAAAAAGCCAGCCTTGCTTACATCACCTTTCACTATCAAATACCTTCTCTTAACATAAGAGCTAATAAACTATGAGTGAGCCATCTGCTGACTTCATCAGTAAGTTAAACACACAGAGCTTCAACTCTGCCTCTGTGAAGCAAATTTTTCCACATATCCAGGGATTTTGAACTCTCTCTGGTTGGTCACATTCATTTTGAAGAGGATGCCAAAGCAGACACAGCACTACAGAAGAGGTCCTGGAGTCTGGCTTAGTCCAGATATCCAAAATAGAGGTGTCTGCTCCTGAGATCTCCCATGGGCCACACCTCTTCTCTGGGAATCTGTAGCACAACTTCCCTGTGCTGCCCACAAGGAGCTGCTTTTTAGGGCCTGGGAAATGGGAACCATTTCTTTACACCTCCATGAGGAATCCAGGTAAAATTTATGGGTCACTGATTCTCTCTGGGGATGGGAACAAGGGAGAGAGTCTGCTTTTGAGGACATTTATTTCTCACCAGCCCTGATTCAGTTACCTGTTTAGGAGACAGTTTTTATATCTACATTGTCACAGCATTAAACAGATGCAGAGTCAGGGTCAGAGCCTGAGCTAGACATTTCTGATCCAAGACCTAAAGCTGCTCCCTGCTCTAGGAACAATATCTTTTTTTTTTTTTTTCCCTGCAGACTCAGAATGCTTACAGGGCTTTTGTTTACTGTTTGTCTCACTGTGTTTTAAAGTAAAAAATGTAGTAATGATCAACCTGGTTCTTCTGTATTTTTTCAATCAGTGCCTTATTTTAATCCTTCCAACTCTCCAGCAGTGTTTACAGTGGTTCAAAGGGCTCGAAAGCTAGGACATCAGAAAGCATGTTGCCAAGCCCATCAGACTAATATGTAGTACAAAATAATAGTAGTCTTCTCTTTTTTTTTTTTTTTAATATTTTAATTTCTGGCCTGTAAAAAAAAAATTATAAAATTATTGACATTTTAACAGAAAGGGGGAGGATCATGAGATTTGTACAGGCATTAAAAATAATGATTTTCACTTCATTAGAGTTTACTTTACTGTCTAATTCTCAGTGATAGCTCTGCTTCTTGTACCTGGCTAGTAAAAGTGTTCAGTAACGAAACTGGGGCTAAACTCAGTAGGAAGCAATTGTGGAACACTTTTACCACAGAGAAGCTTTATGAAAGCAGAGATTGTATTCACTGCTTTCACTTGGAAAACAGTGCGGGGATGTGGATGAGGAAAATTTAATTGATACATGCTGTTACTCTTCATTTTGTTCTCTGAATAATAATTGATATAAATTCAAGCCAAATCATTCAATTCTAGATTTATTTAGGAAGAGGGAAAGAAGTAAAGGAGATTGCATCCCATCTAAGGTTTGGCTTACATCTCATAAAGAGATGGGGAAGATGTAACTGAAATTAATTCCTATTTAACATTGTGGATTTTGCCTAAATTCTTCTCAAGAAATAAAAATGTAATATATCCTTATTTAGGAAAGAAAGGCTGTGATGAAAATGATGAAGTAAAAGGTAATGGGAAGATTCTGGATCCTGGTGGTCCCTCTGCTTTAGCTGCTCTCATCACTATCATTTTTATGGGCATTGGGCTGGACTGGGATGTGGCTGCTGTTTGTGCAGCAGGTGGATGATTCCGTGACCAAAGCATTCTGGAGGAATTGGTTTTTTTCCAAGTTTGACACAGACTTCCTCCATAGCATTGAACAAATTACCTATGCAAAGAAAAAGCAAAAAGGTAGTGAGGCAAATGCATTCAGGCCAGTGCTTAAACACTGGAGTTTATAGCATTTCAGCTTTAGAAACAGTACAGTTTTTATAAACTATATAATTTTTAAAAGAAACATAACATCAAGATTTACCCTGTTATCTCATGAAGTGAGTTTTCCCTACATAACAATTTGGATGATTTTTGTTCTTAGTAAAAACAGAATTAAATCCTTTAAGAGCAAAAATAGCTATTTAGAAAAAACAATAATAACCAAGCAACAATAAGTGTATGTCATTACTGCACTCCAGAAATGAAGCCCATCTGAAATCTGCTCTCTAAATCTTACTCCACTGAGCTCCTGTGAGCACCCTCAGTGAAGGAAGAAGAGATGGCAGAGGACAAATGGATGAAAAGTTCAGCCAATAAAACATAAGAGAAGTGCTTGATAAAACAGGTGGAAAACAGTAAGTGCAAATGTCAAACATGAGTTAAGGAAAGCTGCCCATTTTGTTTTCCTCAGCCTCAGACGGAATGGTTGGCTAAGTTAGTTTGTGTCCCCAGAAAGTGTGGTCTCCCCAGAAATTGCTCTCTGCACAAGAAGTTGGAAGGCCACCTCTGCCAACCCAGATCTTTGGACCATTTCATGACATTGCAGAGATGCACAGAAGTATCTGCCATCCTCCCAGGCACCATATGGACCAGACCCTGGGGATGTTCTTATGAGATTCAGTAATTATATTTTCATTTTCCCTCTTCTTTATGGGAGGGAAACATGCTATCTGATTTTAAAAACCAAGTGGAAACTCCATGGAATAAAAGGAAATGGAAGGACTAAGTGCTGAATTACTGAAGAGTGGAATAACTCACCTTCCAAACTTGTAATGCTTCCAGCAAGAGAAGAGAGACACCCAAATGGAAAAAGGACAGAGGAAACAGCAATGACTTTGAAGATCTAAATCTTCTCCTCTGTGCTGTACAATGTGTGCAGTTTTGACTTGTGTACACACATGGAGAAAGTGATATATAATTTCTTCTCTGAAAAGTTGAATTACTCGAGAACTTTAGAACATTACAGGACATGTTCTCTAACATTTTCAATGAGTTAAGCAAGTCAGAGTAGATGCAGCAACTCCACCTTTCTTCTGTAAGACAATATTGGCACTTCAAAGGTCATGGTGGCCATGGAGAACTTGCTTTTCAT